GTAAACAATTGTTTATGTTACACTAACTGTTATACTTTTTGTTGCGGACTTGTCTGATGTCAGTGGACTGAATTGTCGACCTTGCTGCTGTCGTTATGCGCCGCGAGGTTGACGTGGTGCGTCTTTGAATTCTCGTTCTAGGCACAACTAGGTCTGGTAGCAGGCATGCTGAAAGACAAAACTGAAGAACGAGGGCATTGGTTGTGCAGCACTAGACCGAGCTATTTGTTAAACACTGCGTTGATAATGAAGATATCGTGCATGTATGTCGTTGAACATATGATGAGCCTAAAAATAGATATTCAACAAGATATAACTCTAGTAGCAGAATTATCTTGACGTACAGCCGCGAAGATTTGTTCTTCGAAGGATCTTTCCTCTTTGAAATTTTTTTATAACAAACGCAAAGACAATTATTAACGCATTTGTTTATTTTAATTCATTTGATGCTAAGCTACACACTCATAATCCTAACCATAGTTCTAAATTGTCTAAAATTTAAGAGTCAGGGTTAATAAGATTTATACAGTTATAAAAACGTTGACTTTCGGACAACGACGTGTTTAGATACATACGACAGATATGGATTTACAAGTAATAAGAAAAAGTTAAAAGTTAAAAAAACATTAATAACCAAGATATCAGTCATTATTAAGTATTTAATATTGTTGCTGGTTGAAGCTCTTCTACTAATAAGAAAAGGTTACCAGTTAATTAAATGGACATAATTCAGGCAAACATTACAACTTTTCAATTGTTTTTTCTTCTATATACCCTCTAAAGCTTCCTCAAGGTCTGTTCACATGCACGATCCAATTTTGTCTGATCCAAATCACTTCTGATGGATGTTTTATAGTCTGCCGGTTAACTTGCAATGTATGTGGACCACAAATGAACTAAAGTCAATGCACTACTGCTTTATCAATAACCAACTACATTCCATACGTCAGCAGTGAATTGGATCCGTAGACAGGTAGATCTTGTGAATGGGCCTTAAGAAAGTTTATCTCTGACAGTATCTGGGGAAGCTTGGTTCAACCAAATCATATTCGACCATCCTCGTTTCGAAGGTTTTTGTCTTTGTCCGTTCACTTTCTATTTTTGCTTTGTTTTTAACTGATTAAGGTGGCTCCCTACAGTTCTATGGTTGTATCGCGGTAATTTTGTCGCGCGCGAAATAGTACACGCAACACGCGTGGCTGATGTTGCATGCAGGGCGGGCTTTTTAAAACTTGTCATTGTGAACTTTTGATAAACACGCGCGGGCCTTTGCGGGATGTCGACTGGTCGCGCGAGGAAATTGAAATCCTGATTTTTGTGACGTCATAAACATAAAAATAAATGTATTTTTCTCGTTTTTCCTTCGGTAAATTCTTTTCAAACTTTACACAGTTTTCTGTAATCTTGAAATGCGTAAAATGTGCAAGTTTTAAGAAAATCGTACGAGCCGAATTTTTTTTAATTAAAAAACAGGATTTTTGAGGATTTAAAAAAAAGTGCTCGTACGATTTTTTTTAAATGCTAACATTAGAAAGAATTATGGATAAGATTACTGTGTGGAAAAAATTAGAAAGTTTTACCGAAGAAAATTTGAAAAAATTATCTCAGAATCTGTAAATTGGCCCTTTTTAAAATCGTTATGTTACCATGGCAACGAGGATATTTTACGAAATTTTATATATTTCGTAATTTGCGATATCATAGCAGTTATGTGGCCAAGTTTCGTGATCATACTTTGTAAGATGATAAAATAATTGGTGTTTCCAACACAATTGCGCATTACACAATCAAAACTGTAGGGAGCCACCTTAAATGAATATAGGAATACACGAAAGTCTCTGCAGTTTATCTAATCGCCTTCAAATTTAACTCTAACTTCATTTTTTAAATCTGAAGACAAGCATAAAAAATGTTCGAAAAGTAGCCAATAATGAAGAATTTTTATTCTTATTCTTAATCTTTTTCTGCGTTAAAAATTCAACGCAGAAAAACATGCAGGGTTTTGGAACAATAATTTTCAAACAAACACAATTATTAAAATGAGTATACCGAAAGTGGTATAAATTGGCCACAATATGATCTGGGATTAAATATGATCTAGCCTCAAGATCTCCAGGATAAAATCAGAACTGCACAAACTTACAGTACTGTCCACAAATAACCTAACATAACCTAACACTGCGGTCGCAGTTCGGTTAGGTTACGGTTCGGTCGCAGTTCGGTTGCGGTAGACCGATAGAAACCGCAGACGACCGCAAGGGAAAAAATACGTTCGCACAGGCCATTCGCTTCCAAACGAAATGTTATGAACAATGAGAACGACAACACATTAACCAAATCGGAAAAATCTTAAGAAATGTCTGCCATAACGAGAATGAGGCCGAGGTATAACCTCCGTCTCACAGCGATTCGACCTCGGTCTGACCTCAGTTCAACCACGATCAGACCTAGGTTTGACCAAGGTTAACCGCGGTTTTTGGTAGGTTATTTCTGCATGGAAAGTACTGTAGGTCCACCTTTGTTTTCGTTCAATTAGCATGTAATCAGTTACGCCAACATCGAAATGTACCTTAATATTGGCTAAATCAAATTTGCAATTATCTTGAAATAATTTTAGATATACAAGTAACAGTAATTTTATCTGTGACTAAGGCCCACATTACACGACACAGGATTAGCTGGTCAAGACAATTTCGTTTCCGTTAACAAGAAATGGTTGGTAGTAAAAGCTCATTGGTTTGATAGATTTAGTAGATTTTTTTAGATCAGACATAAATACTCACAGCCTTTTAGCAGCTAAAAAATTTGACTGTATTCAATAGCGACCCCGTATAGTGTAATTGGGCCTTACGCGTGAGATTAACTATAGTAATGACATCAGATGACCTAAAATTAAGGTTTTTAATTGATGAATATATTGCGCTTAATTATCCAATGCTAAGAAAAGTATTTGCTCAGGTAACAATCATTTCAATTTTTACGACATTGCTCAGAGTAAACCAAATTATATATGCAAGAGATCGCGGTAAACAGCCAACTCAAGAAGAAAAAGAAGTGCCAAACAAGTTAAAACCTTAAACATCAGAATATTTATGTATCCATGTATGTTCACTGACCGCTAGAACAATCGATTTGTGTTAGGACTATACTTAGAACATAAATACACGAGTATCTCCCAGCCGACCTAACGAGCTGGCGACGTCAGATGTATCTGTATGGAAACCGTTTCTTGAATTAGCTGTATACCTGCACGCTTACCACAAGTACCTTCGTAGGAAATATTTGAATCAATCGACTCTTATGCTATAAAGACGATGCAAGATTTAACAAAATCGGCACAGTTCAAAACTTTGACACATCTCGTGGTTTTTCTAATATTAGGACGTTTATTCAAATTAAGTTGTCGGATATTATCCGTAAGTTTAATTGGCAATACTTATCTACCTGAACATTTTCTATCAAGAAATCATTTTTTTAGTATTAATTAATGATTTATGATATTTCCTCACCTAAGACAGAAAGTCGCGTTTTCCAGGATCATTACGCGAAGGAAGCGATAAATTATTCATAATTTAAAATTATGAATTTTATAATGTTTGTTACCATTTCTCCTGACGGATAGAAAAGAACAAGTCGATCGCAGGAAAAAATGAAAATATACTTTAGAATAAGAAGGTAGCCGTACGGAAGCTATGATTCTGCCTTCGGACACCTTAACGAAATGCATCATACTACCAGTGAAAAGACCTACAATTTCGGAATCCATGTAAAAAGCATGCCGAAAAGATGTAATAGGAAGAGTATGCGCAATTCTTACACCATTTCTTAGAAACTTCATAGAAAATAAAAAAAGATCCTTATCGCAAGGTGATGCCGTGCGGGATGACACTAATACTAAACTACGAGTCATATTAGAACCAGTTAAACAAAACCATTCAACTGATTCATTCAACTGTCCCGTTGAACGTACAAACCATCTGTTTCCACATTCTATTTCCCACAATTCATAAATTTTCCTGCAACTGCAATGCAACATAACAGCACACCCATCATAACTTATTGCGACAGAAGTGAACTCTTCAACAAGGGTCTCGTCAAGACTCCAACAAGGTATTTCTTGATGACAAAGTTTTTCTCCAGAAATTCTCAAAATAGAAATTCTCCCATTAGTGCTAATTACAAGAACATCGTTTGTAAATTTAACAACACGACTAAAATTTAACATAGATTCTTCAGTTTGATTTCCTAAGATATTTGAATTCAAAGGTTCATAAGGATATTTAACAACCACGCCTTCACAGACCAACCAAAGATACAACTCAGACCACCAACACGCCACTGCTCGTTGTTTTAGTGGAACAGTTTGCAATGTTTCCCCATTGTCGATACTTCGTATTGAAAGAATGCAATTTTCAAAACAGCACGCTACATACAAGGTGTCTGGAGATAATGCACAGCAATCTATTCGGGCGTTGACGACAAAAGAAGCATCAGGAGATTCAAGTGATATAATACATACGAAGTTTGGATCCGAAATACGTAAAATGAATTTCGTCTCTTCTAATTTTGAAATGTGATCGAAATCAAATAATAAATAATCAATCTGAAAGACGTCAACGATCGTTTGGTTTAAAAAATCGTAAATTATCAGAGCTACAGCGGAGGAGTGATCGCTAAATGCTACACACTTTTTTCTCTTCCATAAAAAGGGTTTTGAACATTTTTTACGAGAAAGGAGGACTATCTCACCAGATGGCAAGCAAACATGATCAAAGCTAATCCTACGGGATGGTTTGCCAAGAACCAATCTATTTGGTGAATGTATCTGAATGGAAACTTTACTTAACAAACACGGCTTAACAGAATTCTTTTCAATATATACTTCTTTCAAATTCTCAGAGCGCAAGACATTCGTACACATTGATGAGTTGCAATCCAAAAGGAGAATGTAGGAGCCACACAAACTAAACAAACAATAATTTAAATCCTCAAAAGTCATTGTAAACTTCTGCTAATATGGTTTTCCGCATTACATCCCACACTTGGATGAATTCCGGCCCTAATGTAGCAAGTTTCATTCCACAGGAAGAAAAAGAACAACTATAAATCTCGTCGGGGCCGTGTGCAATGAAGGGTACTTCTTTTGTTCTTTAACAAGGATGCATGACCGAATTGAATTGCATAAAATATAGGAGGAATCAGGAGAAAAGACAAAAAAGTGGTCAATATCAACGTGTATCGCATCTACTTCTATCTTGAAAAGAGTTGCGAGGCTTGGTATTTTAAGCACTTGCACTGTCCATGTTTGATTATGAAAGAGGGCAAACATCGTATTGTCCGGTGACAGAGAACTGGTAATAATAATAGAATTATCTAACAAGGCACGGGGGAAATGATTTAAATTATGATTCTCTTCGTTTGTCACACGCTCCATCCAAATCTCATTTACTGTATCCAAGATATTTCTAGCAACATTTTTACGACAGAAATTATTTTGTGAAAAATCAAAATATCTGTTTGCAAGATCTTTCAAATAATCGTCACAATTTGCTGGAGGGCTTTCTGCCATTAAATACACTCTTCTTAACTTTTCTAAGAGGCAATGCAGTTGAATTATGCCGTAATAAATATCTTTGGAAAGATTACTATTATAAGTGTCAAGGATTTGGTTCAAATCAATATCGGTGTTGCGATCGCGATCGCAAAATTTTAGTCTTAAATAGTTTACGCCAACATGCACCAACCAGTGAAATTCCTCCACCTTACCTGTTTTCATCAAATATTTCACACCATTTTTCAAAGCGTACTCATTCTCGGGTGAAATTTGAAATTCTAAAACGGACTTTAAAGATTCTATCTCACAGAATTCCTTCTCACAAGCACGCCAAAGACGTCTATCTCCGTCTTTAACATCTGCAACAAACGCATGTTCCTCATACCCATTCAACGTCATCCAATCCCATAATGACTTATGATAAAGAGTCAGGCAACCATCATAAACTGGAAGAATTTCTGACATAATGTCAATAATCGCCGTGCGTATTTCAAATTCTTCCCAGGGCAGATCCATGCATGTAAAAAGAATTTTCAGTGGGAGAGGCACGAATGCGGCGGCAATAACATTGCTAAAACTATTTAAGATAGATGAAAAGGTATCTTGCTTTAAACGGTGGAGGCGGCTTTTCAAACGTTTGAACTGTTTTTCGTAATATCCGGCAATACCATTGGGGATGCAATCACTTAAGTCGGGTTCAATTCCCAAGCCCTTTTCTCTTAATTCATGAACTAAGTGATAAGCGTACAAAAACGATCCCTCACACTTCGAAATAACTGACCTTACGCCATCATCATCAAGATTAGGTAAGTCACCACGAATAAAAAGCTCAATATCTTGATTGTGATCTTCATCATCAGGATGGATTTCTAACGGCTGTAAATGTTGAAGAACCTTCCGTACTTGTAGCTCCGGCCTGCTCGAAATGAAGATCTTAATCCACTCAGGCAGTTCAGAAAAATTCTCAGATATCAACTCCAAGAATTCGCTCTTCATTTCAGTTCTGCTCTCGTCAAAGGCATCAACAATGATCAACATTGGATCGTGTCTGCAAAGACCATGTAGTGGATCGTTTAAAAGAACACGAAATGCGTCTGACAGTGTGTCCCAAGAATGTTCACGACGAAGGATTTCGGTCAGTTTATCATGGAATCCATCAACATTATCACACATTTGGCTCGCAAGGGACTGGAGGATTCTGTGAGGATTGCTGTAATCAGAATTTCGAAAGTCGCAGAAATGGTGAGCAGCGAGTTGGCCACGTTCTCTATACAGCTCAGAGATCTTTCCAGACAAAACACTTTTTCCAGCGCCTGGACCTGCAGTTAGGATCATAACCCTGGTTTCTTTACTCACAAACCAACTTGAGAGTTTATCAAACAACCATTTTCTAGTTTTTTCATGGAATTTTTTACAAAGGTCGTCAATCTTTCCAGTAAAGTCGAATTTAGCGAGTTTCTCGACAGTTGAGTGATGAACATTCTCATCTACTGTTTTTTTTAGCTTGACTACTTCACTCCTAACATCACTTAATTCTGATTTCAAGTCATCGTCTTGTTGTTTCCATTCTTTCAAGATTTCAATATAACTTTCTTCTTCAGAGCTAAGAGGAGTCACTTTCAATTCATCAATATCCTTTTGAGGAATTCCCAAGTTGACCAACGGTGCCGAAATTTCTTGCCACAATTTTTCAAACGTTGTGTCGTCCAAACTTGCAGTTGGAATATGACCATACACTTCATTCCTGAACATTTTGACTCTCAAAATGTTTGCTGATATAGATGTATCGCTAACTGGAGGCATAACATTCCACCCAGTGGCTGGTGGAGACAATCCACAAATATTTCGAAGTAGGACAGTCAGTAAGGTGATATCGAAGTTGTTTGAATCTGGTGCACCAGATATTGGGAAGAGTAGATCCCATTGCGGGGCTTTAATTATATTGTATCGTATTCCCTGCAGGCTCTTCTTGTTGGCATTCAATGCGGAGGCCAAGGAGGAATGTGGATGCACCGAATGCAGAGCAAGTCTCAAAGCATCTCCTCCTTTATCTACCAACAGTTGACAAACCCGGGAATAATTAGCTTTGCTTTTTGTTGGATCCATCAATTTGATCCTTAAATTGAAAATCTCTGAAATCAGAGAAGGAAATGATGAGGAGATTGTTCTGATAAAAACAAGAAACCTACTTTACTTTACTTTGCTTTAAGTTTCCAACTTCCCAACACCACTGTAATAATACATATATTTCCAATGAGGCAACTTATCCCTATTTTGTAAAAAAAAGGTGTGAAATAAATGATGATTTGATTTGATTTGATTTGATTTAAAGGCATAACGTATTGACAAAATTTACAAGCATGCTACGTTCCTTATACCAGCTACTCAGGGAAAAGGATGACCAAATTTCGTGTGTTAAAATGGAACACCATATTCTTTGTTAAATTATGTAATAAGGTTGATATTATTAATAATGGGGTTAATATTTAACAAGACGCCTGTTCTGGCTTTAACTCCGGCGTACCGCGCACGTGCCAGTCTTCAATATAAAGCTTCTGAACATAAACAATACAGTTCATATTCATTTAGATGCCTTGCGAACCTAAATGTTGTTCGATCGCGAAATTCAGAAGCACATCGTACTTTAAAAAGTATAGAAGTTCAATTGTTCAAAAATGTAAATAAACCGCATGATACATTCACTTTGCCTTTGGAATTCGTGCTTATATAGTTATACTAAATTTTCAATCCTGTGCAAACTGCGACGTGTCAACGCGCCCATACACGGCCACATCTTGTTAAACGGCGAAATAGCAGCGACCAGAATCATAGGACCAGAATCTACATGTATTAAATATATTTTTACCCCAATTAAATCTAAACTTAATCGGACAGCATCAAAAGAACGGTTTATTTGTTCCTCTTGGAGGAATTGCCGTATCATGCGAGCGAAATCGAATCATGCATCAGAAAATTAGCCAAAGCTGTGCACCACAACTCTTGGGAGACAAGACTGGGACGTAGATAAATCTGATCACATACACATTTCAAATACCAGTAAATTTCGCGCCATTACACACTTGCGACGACGAAAAATAATAAACAAAACAAAACAAAACAAAAACCGAGTAATAAGTTGTCAGGAGTGTTGGGATTGATAAGTGGGCGTAAAGACTGGAAGCGAAAAGGCTGTAATTTGTTGGACTGAGTTTATGGAATAAGTATATAAATATACGTATATGTTACAAAAAGAATAAACTTGAAACAATCTTCACAATCACGCGGTCATATATTCGAAGGAAAAACCATGGTACGTTTGATAAGGTGGTTCCCAATACGTGTAATTAGTACAGTTTGTGATGTGTCTATAAAGATCAGACGCGCGTTGGTAACTTGGTAGAAGTTTTTAATTCGAAGTGTATATTCTTATATATGATCGTCTTATGCCGCACTGATTACATTTCAAGGCTATTGTTTTTAGGGTAAGTGAATAAACATATATGAATATACTCCCCCAATTTCAGTGACGGATCTACTCTCCAATGCAATTATCGTTTCGAGCTGCACGACTGTTTTTTTTGGCTAAATACTGGCAGAAAAAGACATGTTTTTCTATTTAATGTCATTAAACAGTGCTTATGTTGCTAAACAACTTCCTACGTCTCATCTGAAGCTCCTCAGCTCTTTCACCCCGCAACAAACTCAGAATCTTCAACACAAATGTGAAGTCAGTGCTGCTGTATGGTTCAGAAACATGGAGGACAACAAAGATCAGCACCCACAAACTACAAACTTTAACCAACAGATGTCTGAGAACCATTCTCAATGTTTGCTGGCCAGATGTCATCTCCAACAGAGTATTATGCGAGAGAACGGGACAAAGCCCCATTGACATTGGTATCAAGGAGAGAAAATGGGGGTGGATATGTGAAACCCTACGAAAAACCGGATTTCAACAGCAGAAGACATTAACACAGTTTGCAGTAAATACTGTAAACTAACGTCAACGCAAAATATTATTATTCCGGCACTGGAACAGACGCACGGGTATATAGCCCGAATTTACCACCAAAAGATGCATAAAAGGTAAACCGATATTTATAATTTATAGTAGACACATTTGTTTATATAATTATCGAAATTTAAATAGTGAATCAAAAATGCACAATTCTAAAGCAGTGATTAGATTTTCGTGTTAAAACTTCATAAACACCAATTTCTGCGGTGTTTGTTTATCATGTTGTACCTTTGTGAGTTCCTGAAAACCAGGGCGTGGCAACCGAATTAAGGGATGTTATGTGATATTCACCATAACTTTTATAAATAATAAAAATATCCAATATTATAGATTCATTCAAAGATTATCCACTATGTGTTGACTATTTGGCTATTTTACTCAAGTTTTCATCTCTGCTTTTCTGATGAATAACAATTAAAGCATTTTGATCAACTTCAAACATTGCCCCTCACCACTCAGTCCCCACACTCCTTTAGGCCAAACACTGCCTAATTTTGCTATATTATATTGATGTATTCCTTAAAAGATTATCACAGGGAGCAATTTCAAAAGATAGCTATAGTCTGAGTATATTTAGATTTTGGAAAGATGCCATAAGAACTGACATATTACAAACACTTATGATGTTGCTACATACATAAGCCAAGCTACAGACAGTCAAGGTTGTTGACGTTTTCAAGAGCTGGACTGAAAGCAATACATTTACAGAGCAACAGTGTGTGAATTATGTAATTAGCAAGATATTGTCATTTAGTTTAACCAGAAACATTTCTTTATCTTGACGATGCAGTGATACGTATACGTATGTGGATATATCCACACAAAAATAGTTCCTGTCAGTCAACTTTACATGTTACAAAACTTCAAAATTTATATTTTGGTCATCTACTTTTTCTAAAACTTCCTCCAAATCTCAGCACTTCCCCAATACAAATTTTCAGCCCTTAGTGGTTAGTGATCTCCCATATTTGGGATTTTACACTAGTGTTCACTTTCCCACTTCATAAAATTAGTATTAATATAATAAAGATACTTCTATATGCACATCTGCTGATATGGTATTAAATGAATGAACAGAAACTGGAAATACAAAATATGTAATAAACCACAATCTCTTACCTTCCCATTCAACAGCAGAGCAAAGACATCATTCAATTTGGAACATAGTTAACACAGTGAAAATGAATACAGATTCTTAAGGGAAAAATCAGAGAAAAATCATGAAAAAATTAACATTATTTACTACATGCTTGGAATCCATGTTGGGAGTCAAAAATTGTGCGAGATATCCGTGAGTAAAATATGGTTTCAGCCCTTAAAGCTGTATGGTGAACAAAGAATGTAGGCAGTATACTTTCAAAAAATTACTTTCTCTTAGATTTAATTATAACTGCAGTTGTGCATGTGCACTTACTGACCCTGGGGATGACGGAAATCCTTAAAAGTTGGCTTATCCTCAGAAAATATTTTACACAGCCTTAACTTTTGGTATTAAAAATGCACCTCATACCTTAATTACTATTGATATGAATTTTATTGAAGTGAAACCACAGATGTCTTTTATCCTCAATGGTTAAGATAGTCACCAAAAATCCAAACAAGGAATCTAGGTACGCAAATAACACACTTATTGATCTTGCTTAATTTCACCTGACTTTAGTGCTACTATATTACATTTTAATCAAACTTCTCAGCATAAAAAATCTTACATTTAGAAACTTTACACTAGATAAATTTACGCTTTGTAAACCTAGTTTCCAGTCAACTAAACTGCAGAAATACAACGCGAATATAAAAATGCAGCCTTAATAAGTAATAATTCCCAGGGGCCTGCAATCTCTTGTTTTTAAATAGAAGCGAACATATGTGAATACTAACAATTCTTCTTGCAACTTGCAATACAATTCTACTTTTGAGAGATTTGGCAACTACAAAACTTTCATGTTTATTACACTCCATGTTCATTTCTTACACTTACATTGTGAATACTTGATGCTCGTCTCTTAAAAGTAGGATTGCATTACAAGTTGCAAGAAAAATTGCACCATGTAACATGGCCTTAATGGTTGCAGTTATTTTATACACCATAAAGAGTGGAAGAAAACAGATTGAGTATTTATGATTATTTATAGTGGGTGCCTTTCTTTTTATACATCTGGTAGAAGCAGTAAAAAAGTACCCCTATTGCAATTGAAATGAAGCTGTTGATGGAGTTTGAATACATGATCAGCGCACTGGTGTAAATGACACATTGTGATTAGATTGAGGCATTCAAATTAAGCGTCTCCCTTAAATTTTACGCACCATAGGTTTAGCATAATAATAGCGCATTGAAATTATAACAAAAGCTTGTTTCACAAAGCTTGGGTACCTTTTTATACAACCTTTAGATTTGTAAACCTTCTTTCCATTTATATTATCCTCGTAAGTAAATATTAAATGCTAGCAGAAATATTTAAATGTGTAAGTAATAAAAATGCTGCAAGCATTCGAAGTAACGGCAACAAACAGAACCAATAAATTGTTCTTAAAAGTATGATTAATTCCTCACGGGAGAGGTATAAATAGCTTTTTGTGAAAAAACTTGTCTTATTCCCGAATGAACAATTAAAGGCAAATGAAACAGCTCAAAGTTGAAATATAAACACTACAATAGCACCACAGATATTTTCCTACGTTGCACAATTCTGGGGCCGGATGTTCGGAAAGGCGTTTAGCTTAAACGGTGGATAAGTTCAAAATAGAAAACAAAATTATCTATTTATTGAACAACTGACCTGAAATATTTCGATGTAAATAGTTTAATTTTCAATGGAAGTATATATTTAATGCATAGAATGTCGTTTCGGTCATTCACAAAATGTATGAGAGTATTTTTAAACTTTTGCTTATCCACCGTTTTATAGCTAAACGCCTTTCGAGCAACCGGCCCCTGATGCCCAATAAAGGCACCTACACCGACAAATACCTTGATATTTAAATACAATTTGAACACAGTAATACCTTTGTTTATTCCTGAATGTTACACTTCGGAGATCAGAATGAAAATAAGAAATTTTTGTTGAAGAACAGCGTGCACATAACCGAGGAATATAGCTGGTGTATCGGTCGTTACTCATTTGTTAATATTGCGTGCTTGATGAGCTTGATCCCCGGTCGGCAAGGAGGGATGGGCAAGGGAACTATTTCAAGCAATGGTAAAAAAATAGTACATTGTGCGTTCATGTTGGTAGCTCCTGACTGAAGACAGCACCACAACAAAACTTGCAATTTCTAACAACTAAGAAGTTAATATTTATTCTTCCAAATTTTAAACCCTGAGTCCTTAGCGAAATTTTTAAGCGAAATTTTGAGTTGCGAGAAATTATGGGGAATTAATTTATTCAATGGGTTGAAGTTGTGGAATCGATTGGGCGCGTCGTTGAATTCTCGTACTAGCTCTGGTAGCAGGCATGCTGAAACACAAAACTGAAGAACGAGGCCATTGGTTGTGCAGCACTAGATCAAGCTATTTGTTAAACGCTGCGTTAATGTTGAAGAGGTAACTGCGATATCGTGCATGTATGCCCTTGAAATATGATGAGCCTAAAAAATAGACATTCAACAAGATATAACTATAAACGAAGCCAAAAACCTTACATATAAATTGTATCCGACATTTCTAGTAGCAGAATTATTTTAGCGTACAGCCGCGAAGGTTTGTTCTTCGAAGCATCTTTCCTTCTTGATCGTAAAGCCTTTTTATAACAAACGCAAAGACAATCATCAACCCATTTTTTAATTTTAATTCAATTGTTGCTAAACTACACGCTCATAATCTTAACCATAGTTCTAAATTCTCTAAAATCAAAGAGTGTAATAACATTTATACAATCATAAAAAGATTGACTTTCGGACAACGACGTGTTTACATACATACGACAGATGTGGATTTACAATTAGCTAATAAGAAAAAGTTAAAAGTTAAAAAAAAACATTAATTACCAAAATATTAGTCATTATTAAGTATTCGATATTGTTGCTCGTTGAAGCTCTTCTACTAATAAGAAAAGATTACCATTTAATTAAATGGACATAATTCTGGTAAACATTATAACTTTTTAATTGTTTCTTCTTCTATATACCCTCTAAAGCTTCCTCAAGGTCTGTTCACACGATCCAATTTTGTCGCATCCAATTCACTTCTGATGGATGTTTTATAGTCTGTTAACTTGCAACGTATGTGAACAACAAATGAACTAAAGTCAATGTACCACTGCTTTATCAATAACCAACTACATTCCATACGTCAGAAGTGAATTGGATCCGACAGTTGGATCGTGTAAATGGCCCTTAAGAAAGTTTATCTCTGACAGTATCTGGGGAAGCTTGGTTCAACCAAATCATATTCGACCATCCTCGTTTCGAAGGTTTTCTCTTTCTCCGTTCACTTGGTATTTTTACTTTCTTTTTAACTGATTAAATGAATATAGGAATACACGAAAGTCTCTGCAGTTTATCTAATCGCCTTCAAACTTATCTCTAACTTCATTTTTGATCGCGTCGCGTAGCGACAGCGATCTATAGTTTCGGCTTGGTTTTTTTTTATTTTTTATTTTTTTCCTCTCGGGTCGACCCCCAGCGTCGCTAGCTGCGGGCCATATCACCCTAATCGGGAACCTGCGCACAGGTAAGTTGCTAGTTATATCACGTCTTGTATTCACTTTGGGCATATTTCGTTTCACCTTCGAACTTCGAAGCAGTAAAGTAGAATCAATAAAGCGAAATACACATACAACTAACTGCACACGCCGAGCAGAGTAAGCCTGCACTAAAGGATTTCAAGCAGTTTCGAAATGGGCTGTTGTGTGTATCTCTTGCTTTCAACATGCGACTATAGTTCTGTATATTGTTCATTTTTATTATTAACAATATTTACGACACAAAATTTGCATAGCTGGGCTGGCTACGCCGCTGTGAACGACGCGATCATATAACGCCTAGTAGGCGTCTTGTTTAAATCTAAAGTCAAGACAAGCATAAAAAATATTCGAAAAGTAGCCAATAATAAACAATTATTATTCTTATACGAATTTAATGGACGCGGAAAAACATGCAGGGTTTTAGAATAATAATTTTGAAACAAACACAATTATTAAAATGAGTATACCGAAAGTGGTATAATTGGCCACAATATGATCTGGGATTAAATATGATCTAGCCTCAAGATCTCCAGGATAAAATCAGAACTGCACAAACTTACAGTACTGTCCAGAAATAACCTAACATAACCTAACACTGCGGTTGAAGTTCCGTTAGGTTACGGTTCGGTCGCAGTTCGGTTGCGATCGACCGATAAAAACCGCCGACGACCGCAAGGGAAAAAATACGTTCGCACTGGCCGTTAGCTTCCGAAAGAAATGTTATGAACAATGAGAACGACAACACAATAACCAAATCGGAAAAATCTTAAAAAATGTCTGTCATATACCGAGAATGAGGCCGAGGTTTAAGCTCCGTCTCACAGCGATTTGATCTCGATCAGACCTAGATTTGACCTGGTTAACAAGAAATGGTTGGTAGTAAAAGCTCATTGGTTTGATACATTTGGTAGATTTTATTGGATCAGACATAAATATTCAAAGCCTTTTAACAGCTAAAAAATTTAACAGTATTCAATAGAGACCCCGTATAGTGTAATTGGGCCTTACGTGTGAGATTAACTATAGTAATGACATAAGATGACCTAAAATTTAGGGGTTTTATTTATGAATATATTGCGCTTAATTACCCAATGCTGAGAAAAATATTTGCTCAGGTAACGATCATTTCAATTTTTCGAACATTGCTCAGAGTAAACCAAGTTATTCATGCAAGAGATCGCGGTAAACAGCCAAATCAAGAAGAAAAAGAAGTACCCAGGAAGTTAAAACCTTAAACATCAGAATATTTCGTTATAGGTATGCAAAGACTCATGGTCCAGGTATGTTGTGCATATCGCAGACTTATTTACGCGTGCACATATAATTTTCCATGAAACAATCGAAAAAAAATTGTTTTGGTTGATTTGCGATTTGACTTTTATATGACCAGTGACGTACCAGCATTATTAAGGAGCACATTTATATATCCATGCATGTTCACTGACCACTATAACAATCGATTTGTGTTAGGACTACATGTAGAACATAAATACACGAGTATCCCCCACCCGAACTAACGAGCTGGCGACGTCACATGTGTATGGAAACCATTTCTAGAATTGGCTGTATATTTGCACGCTTACCACAAGTAACTTCGTAGCAAGTATTGGAATCAATCGACTCGTATATGCTATAAAGACGATGCAAGATTTAGTCAAAAATGGATTTTTTTATTTTATTTAACAAAATCGGAACAGTTCAAACATTTGCCACATCTGATGGTTTTTCCCTAATATTAGGACGCTTATTCAAATTAAGTGGTTGGATATTATCAGTAAGTTTAATTGGCAATACTTATCCACCTGAACATATTTTATCGAGAAATAATTTTTTTAGTATTAATGATTCGTGATATTTTCTCATCTAAGACAGAAAGTCGCATTTTCCAGGATCATTACGCTAAGGAAGCGATAAATAGTTTTCAAAATTATGAATTTTAAAATGTTTGTTACCACTTTTCCCGACGGATAGAAAAGAACAATTCGATCGCAGGAAAAAATGAAAATATACATTGGGAGAATGAAAAGGTAACCGTACGGAAGCTATGATTCTGCCTTCGGACAGCTTAACGAAATGCATCATATCATCAGTAAAAACACCTACCATTTCGGAATCCATGTAAAAAGCATTCGGAAAAGATTTAAAAGGAAGAGTAAGCGCATTTCTCATACCATTTCTTAGAAACTTAATAGCAAATAAACAACTTTCCCCAAATTTATTTATTGCAGGGTGGAATGACACTAACACTGAATTACGAGTCATATTAGTACCAGTTAAACAGAACCATTTAACTGATTCATTCAACTGTCCCGTTGAACGTACAAACCATCTGTTGCCACATTCTATTTCCCACAATTCATAAATTTTCCTCAAATTGCAATGTAACATAACAGCACACCCATCATCACTTATTGCGACAGAAGTGAACTTTTCACTATGGGCCTCGTCAAAATTCCAAGAAGGTATTTCTTGATGACAAAGATTTTCTCCACAAATTTTCAAAATAGAAATTCTTCCATTAGTGCTAATTACAAGAACACCTTTTGTAAACTTAACAACACGACTAAAATTTAAAAAAGATTCTTCAGTTTGATTTTCTAAGATATTTGAATTCAAAGGTTCATAAGGATATTTAACAACCACGCCATCAGAGACCAACCAAAGATACGACTCAGACCACCAACACGCCCCTGCTCGTTGTTTCAGTGCAACAGTTTGCAATGTTTTCCCACTGTCGATACTTCTTATTGAAAGAATGCAATTTTCAAAACAGCACGCTACATACAAGGTGTCCGGAGATAATGCACAGCAATCTATTTCGCTGTTATTGACAAAAGAAGCATCAGGAGATTCCAGAGATATAATGAATACTAAGTTTGGATACAAACTTAGAATGAATTTCGTCCCTTCTAATTTTGAAATGTGATCGAAAACACATCCATCTGGCAAACAATCAATCTGAAAGACGTCAACGATCGTTTGGTTTACAAAATCGTATATCATCAGAGCTACAGCACCTTCGGAAGAATAATTGCTAAATGCTACACACTTTTTCTCCTTCCATAAAAAGGTTTTTGAACATATTTTGTTAGGAATGAGGACTATCTCACCAGATGGCAAGGGAACATATTCAAAGCTAAGCCTACCATGTGATTTGTATTCATCCGGTGAACCCATCTGAATGGAAACTTTACTCGACAAACACGGCGCAACAGAATTCTTTTCAAAATACACTTCTTCCAAATTCTCAGAGCGAAAGACATCGGTATATGTTGATTTGCAAAAGTCGTCATCCTCAATCTCATCCCAACTCAAAAGGAGAATGTAGGAGCCACACAAACTAAACGAACAATGAGAAAAAGACACAGGTTCACAATACTTATTGTCAACTTCTGCTAATAGGGTTTTCAT